CATCCTTCTTTCTCATTTGATCCCTCTACTTCTTGCCTGCCATGCTATGAGCTAGTTCTCCTCTGCCATACCTGTCCACCTGGCCACCCTATCTTGGAGCCAGCAGACTATGGACTGAAACCTCTATACATATAAGCCATAACAAACCTTTCCTCATTTAATTCTGGTGTCAGGTATGTGTCTGAGCAATGAGAAAGTAACTGAAACAAATCTCTTTTCACTAGCTCTAGGGGTGGTGGCCACTCCTCACAGTAATCACTCTTGTGTTACCTTGATGTTTCTTTTTTGCTTTTCAGTCCATCAACACCCAATACTAAATCTTCCCTGTTATACCTTGTGATTTCCATTTTTCTAATATGTCTCCAGATCACCCCCAAAGGAATCCATAGCCATCAGTAACATACTATGCTTTGGGAAAATATCAATATTTAGATTTCTTTTCAGGGATTACTACACAATAGCTCTCAATAAAAATTATGCAAATTGAAGCACAGAAAAAAAAAAGGTTTGAAAAAGGGAAAAATTCAAACAAACTCAAACCAAACAGTGCCTGATTAGGTATACTAAGAAGTCTAGCATAAGTGTAACTGCAGTCCCAAAAGAAGAAGAAAGAGAGAAGACAGAAAAAAAAAAATCTGAGTAATTATTGGCCAAAAGTTTTCCAATATTTTTGGAAATTGGTGGAGATTGAACTCAGAGCCTTCACAGTGAACTATATTCCCAGGCATTTTGGGGTTTTATTTTGAGACAGGTTCTTGCTAAGTTGATTAGTTGCCCAGGATGGGCTCAAACTTGCAATCTTCCTGACTTAGCCTCCCAGAGTGCTAGATTATAGGTGTGTGCCACCATCCCTGACCAAATTTTCCAAATTTGATAAAAGGAAAGAAAAACAAAAAAAAAATGCCTATAATCCAAGCATTTGGGAGGCTGAGGCAGGAGGACTGCCACAAGTTCAAGACCAGCCTGAACTACATAGCATGACCTTGTCTCAACAAAACAAAACAAAACACCAACAGGGAAAAATAGGGGAACAGAAAAGAGCTGGACCAAAGCAAGACCAATACCCAGCAGGGCAAAGATTGTCTTATAACTCCATGTCTGGTGTCTGGAGCACATGATGGTGAGCTTCAAAGGACTTGGGAAGTCCTTTAGTCCTAGACCTATAGCTTTGCCAATTGCAGCTTTGCCAGTTGCAGCTTTTCTCTTAGGCTGACTCTGCTCATTGCCTACAGATTTTTTGGGCACATTCCATGTTCCTGGCATCTCCAACTTTTTTGTGTCTCTATTCAGCAATAGTTTCACTCTCACAGCTTAAGTATCATAACCTCAGGGGCTTCCAGCAGGAACTCTAGCCCTGTAACACGCTGCCTTTTCCTAGGCCTTCCTTTGAAACCTGGGTGGTAGAACCATCTATGACCCCGAAACTTGCATTCTTCATGCCTACACACCAGTATCATGTGGACAATGCCAGGGTCTACCACCAGTTAAAGCAGTAGCTGGGCCCTGTTGGGCCACAGCTGCAGTAGCCACTACGTGCCTGGCAGGCTGATCATGGTGAAATAAATCCCGGGGAACCAGCAGGAGGCTGGGTGTGCGTGTGTGTGCTTGTGTGTGCATGTGTGTGTGTGTCTTTTTAAATGAAAGATTTATACTTTTGGATCCTTGAGACTGCAATGAGTGGGGTCCTGAGGATTCCTGAGATGCCCTCAAGGCATCTTTCTTCTTATCCTGGTTTAAAGTATTTGGTTTCTTTCTTCCTTCCTTCCTTCCTTCTTTTTTCTTTCTCTTTCTTTCTTTCCTTTCTCTCTCCCTCCCTCTCTCTCT